GCCACAACCCTGGCTTCTACCCACAAGATGCCAGCAAAATAACCCCGATGTTAACACCAAAAATGTCTCCAGACATTGTCAAATGTCCTCTTGGTACCAAGGGGTGGAGGTGGAGGGGTATGGCAGGGAGAGTGACTGCCCTCAGTTGAAAACCACTATTTTAGATATTGGGAATATATAGGAAAGCAAACATAATAAAAATACCCTATGAATTAAATACAAAAGTTTTCTTTCAGTGGCTAAGAAGACATAGCAAATTTGAATTTGGATCCAGTATAACACAATACATATAATGCAAGGGACAGATGAGTATCAGAAATTGATAAACCACTTAACTGTACTCCATTGAAGCTATAGAATTTCAGAGTAGAAGAACTTCTGAAGTCATCTAGGAAAAGCTCATTAGACTAAACTGGGATTCTAAGCAGATAAATTACTGCCCAAGGTCTTATCATCAGCAAATGGCATCTTTATGAGTAATACTACCTGTATCTCTTTAACAACTGTACAGATGAAACAACTGTGCAGCCCATAGAGATCCTAATATGGTGTGGTATGTTATATATAATAAGGGACACTTAACTGGATTAGTGTTCCTAAATTGGTAGCATCACTGGCGCCGAAAAAAGACAGATGAATGTATTATAATAATAAAGAAACCTATAATTTTGGCTGAAAATACAAGCAGCTTCAAAAATGGCCAGTTTCAATAATAAAGAGTTATAATAACTTACATTTTGATTTTGAAGGTCAATCTATCAACAACACCAAATGCCCCTATTTATGAAATTTGATGTTGAGAGACCATGTTTTGTTCTGAGACCTGTTTTTAAGTTTGCACTGGAAAATAATGTGCTATAATTCATATAACCTTCAGACATGCTATTAGCAGCAACCTTAACCTACTTGTCAGCCAAATGTCTGTGTGGGTATATACAGCACTCATAAAAATATTCCTGGTGGCTTATTCCAATTTCCTAAGCTCTGATGAGATTGTGAGTACACGAAAATATGCTTTAAGCAAGTACTGCCCTGAAAACCATCTTTGACATCCCCAAAATATCAACATCTAAGTGGTTTTTTCCCCTACTGATTTTAGAATTCCATGTGACAAAGAAAGAACTTCTAAATATTAATATTTAAAAAGTTAAAGCCGGGTGTGGTGGCTCAAGCCTGTAATCCCAGCACTTTGGGAGGCCGAGGCAGGTGGATCACGAGGTCAAGAGATCGAGACTATCCTGGTCAACATGATGAAACCCCGTCTCTACTGAAAATACAGAAAACTAGCTGGGCATGGTGGTGCATGCCTGTAATCCCAGCTACTCAGGAGGCTGAGGCAGGAGAATTGCCTGAACCCAGGAGGTGGAGGTTGCAGTGAACCCAGATCGCGCCATTGCACTCCAGCCTGGGTAACAAGAGCGAAACACCGTCTCAAAAAAAAAAAAGTTAAAAAAACTAGGATATCATCTGTTAGTTGCAGATATATATAAAATACTGATAATGAACAAGTGATATGATCCTGTGTTACACAGAATATCAATGTTTATCAAATAATAAACTGTAGGTACTTCAAAATAACTTTTTCATTCATTCATTCATCAAAAATTTAATTGTGAACCTACAATGTACTGGTACTATGCTGGCAAATGGGAATAAAGCAGAGAGAGAGAGAGATTAAAGTCCTTGCTCTCCATGGATAATTATCCTTCTGTAGAATAAAAGTTGGGTCATATTTTAATCATGTCACATATAAGAATAAAAGTTACAGGGAATATATGGCATTGAATCCTAGATAATTTTTATTAAAAACAATAAACAAGATAAGTTATTATCTTACTTTAGATTGGGCTTACATTCTAAAAAAGAGAAAGATTTTAAAGAAAAATTTGTGAAACTCCATAAGGTAACTAGCAATGCAAAGCACTTTAGAAACATGATGGTTATGGCTGGGCATGGTGGCTCACACCTGTAATTCCAGCACTTTGGGAGGCTGAGGAGGCCAAGGCAGGCAGATCACAAGGTCAGGGGTTTGGGACCAGCCTGACCAACATGGTGAAATGCCGTCTCTACTAAAAATACAAAAATTAGCCAGGTGTGGTGGCACACTCCTATAATCCCAGCTACTAGGGAGGCTGAGGCAGGAGAATCGCTTGAGAGGCAGAGGTGGCAGTGAGCCAAGACTGCACTGTTATACTCCAGCCTGGGCAACAGAGCAAGACTCCATCTCAAAAAAGAAAAGATGGTTATATAAATGTTAGACTGCAATTCGGGTTAAGCCATTTTCATAATAATTATCTTTCCGTTGAGTAAATGCTTACTCTATGCCAGGCACTGCTAAATATTTTATGTTATTCCACTTAATCCTTATATAATATCTTTCAACTCATATAAAACACAGTCATTCAATGAGGTTGGTATCATTAATTCTTACAGATAACTTACAGAACACTGACACTTAATGCCAAGTAACTTGTCCAATAATTCTTACAGAACATTGACACTCAATATCAAATAACTTGCCCAAGGTTACAAGCCTGGTAAGCAGAGAAGCTGGGCATCTCACTGCTCTGACAGACACAAAGCCTGTGCTCCTCCTCCTACAGGTACCTCCTCTCCGGCCCTTTCTTTCTGATATTAGCAGGGCAGAGTAGGGGAACAGGATTTTGCACAGAGATACTAGCTCATACAATAGTCTAGAAGTAGCAAAACACATGTTAAGGAAAGTTTTAAAAGACCAGATATATACTGAGGGATGGAGAAAGTGGTGTGAAATGATACTGGGGGTAGGCAGGGGCTAGATCATGTAGGGTCTCATAAATCATGTTGTAGATTTGGGATTTTAACTAACCTGCAGAGAGAAACCATTGAAGGATTTTAAGCAAGTGTGTCATGTAATCAGACATACATTTAAGAAAGATCATTCTGGCTGCCTATAGAAATACAGTAAGAAGAGTCCAGGTAGAAGTCCATTTTAATAGCTTAGGCAAGAGATGAGAGTAGCTTGGTGGAGATGGTGAGATGTGAATAAATTGGAGAAATAATTCAGCAGTAAAACTGACTACATTTGAAAATGCATTAGAAGACAGAGTAAAGAATAGGAATGTCAGGATGGCTTCTGCATGTCCCGTACTGCTTTCTCTCAGATTTTGGAGGACGGAAAAGGAAAGAAATTTAACAGTAACCAGGAGAGCAATATTAATGTTCAGATTATTCTAGATTATTTTAGTGTCTGTTTACCTGAAGCTCACTGTATTCATTTCCTAGAACTGTCAGAATAAATTATTACAAATTGTGTGGCTTAAAACAACAGGAATCTGTTCTCCCACAGTTCTGGAAGCTGTTAAGTCTAAAATCAAGGAGCCTCCGAAGGCTCTGGCAGAATTTTTCCTTGCCTCTTCTTAACTTATGGTGGCTCCTGGCAGTTTCTCCTTCTTTGGCTTGCACGTGCATCACTATCTCTGCTTCTGTCTTCCCATTGTTTTCTTTTATGTGTGCTTATGTCCTTGTTCCTCTTCTAATAATGACAGCAGTCATGATTTCATCTTGAGATCCTTACTAATTACATCTGCAAACAGGGTCTATTTTCCAATAAGGCCACATTCTGAAGTTCTTTCTAGGTGGTCATGAAATTTGGGAGAGCATTATTCAACCTACTACATTCATCACTATTTTTGTTACCTTAATTTTTTTTTATTATTTATCATCATCAATAGTATTATCACCATCACAACAACCATTACCAATAACCTTCGATTAGCATTTGCCTGGGTAAGAAAGAGGGACTCTAATCCCTAATATGTATTTGTGTTGGGGGTCATAAGTGTTGGGGGGTTCCAAGACCACACCCAAGTTCAGTAGGAGGAATTGCAGGACTCAGAATATAGCTGCATTCATGGCAATAATTTATTACATAAAAGGATATGCAGTGAAATCAGGAAAAAGATGCTTAAGACAAAGTTCGGAAGAAACGAGGCACAAGCTTCCAGACGGAGTCGCAGAGGACCTAATTCTTCCACCGTCAAATTGTGACAACACATGTGAAGTGTTGTTTCTGCTCATTAGAGAATCAGAACCCAGGTTTTTTTGGTGGGGGTGCTGAGGACCTAATTTTTCCACCATCAAATTGTGACAACACATGTGAAGTGTTGTTTCTGCTCAATAGAGAATCAGAACCCAAGTTTTTTTGGTGGGGGTGCTGACTACATAAGCACCCTCTGCTTAGCACAGGCCAAAATTCCAGACTCCTGGAAGGAAAGCTAGTAATTGGCATAAGCCACACTATACAAATGCTCCAGGCACATAATAGGCCACTCTTATCAATTAAGGAATAGTAGGAATACTTCTGAAATCTAAGTTCCCAGATACCAGACAAGGGCCAACCTTGCAAGCAGGCCTTTCTAAGTATAGCAGTCTCAGGCCTCCTAAGTTAGCTCTTTTCTGAACTTAGTGATACATTTAATCCTCACAGCAAAGAAATTACAGTGTCTACATCTAGACAATGTGTCCAAGATCAGACTACTACAATGCTAGTAATAAACAGAAACTATAATTCAAAGTAGACAATCGGATTCTTGACCTCTGCTCTTAACCACTATGCTTGGCCGCCTGGTTTTTGAGGACTTAGTAAAATGAAAGAAAAAAAACGGTTACAATAGACTCAAGTTGGAGGGAACTGACCAAGGAAAGTAGCAAGAAGGCTATGATTTTAAAATTAATAATACAGTAGCCATTATATAAAGGAAATTCAATGAAAATAAAGCATGGGCTAAACATTATAAACCTTTAATGTTTAAGAAAAACAAAATCACTAGTATATTAGCAATTTTAATGTTTCAGGAAGATTAAAGAAAGCTAAAATTTCAGCCTAATTAACACAATCAAGGGATTAAGAGATTTACTTTCACCTTAGTGGAAAAATTAAAAAATTAAAGTCAAAAAGATTACATGCATATGCTATGGCAGAGGGCAGTTCATGAAGACTATTTTTGTTTTATTTTTACCTGATGGAGTGATGTCCTGAAGTATAGTCTAGTTTCCCAAATTTCTGTGTTCGGTAGCCATGCCTTTCCATGACATCCATCCATGTTGTATAATTTGAATCTAGACCCTTAAAATTATTCCAAGATTCTGTTAAGTGAGTGAAGAGACCACTCCACATTGCTGAGAAAAAAAAAAAGGAATTGGGATTAAGGTGAAGCTTAACAATTTGACTGTTAAGACAATTACTCTGAGAGAGCAGTCCACTAGTGTAGAGCTCATGCTTTGCAATAAGACGTACCCAGATTAGGTGCTTTACCAAATATTCCTGACTGTTATCTCATTTTATCAGGTAGATACTCTGTGGGGAGTTACCATTTCCATTTCACAGATGAGTTGACTACTGCTTAGAGGTTAAGTTACTTAAGGTAAATATAGCTGAAATTAAATATAAATCCTGTGTAACTAGAGGACTCTTTCAATCATAAAAATAACCACTAAGTATTTATTGGTTAAGTTTCTAAATCAGTCAATTAAAATATAGATCTCATTTCCTCAATATCATCGGCTCTTCCCTTATTCCCTGTCCTTTTGCTGACTTTGCAAAACTCTAAGTGTGCTATGCCTCATCTCTCATTTTGTACAACTATGATTGTTTAGTCAATAAATGCTTTTTTCCTTTTCCCATTCTGGTACATAAATAGAAAGTTAGAGTCAGCTTTCTTTTTTCATCTAGCAAGATGTTTTCTGAGAAGTGGAATAGGAGATTACCTGGGTTTGAATCCCAATAACACCAGTTACTGAGTAGCCTTTGATAAATTATTTAACCTTGTTATATTTGCTCTTCAGAATATACTTCTTCCAGGAAAAACAACATCTAACATTTTTGAGACCTCTAGAGTTCATTGGCCACTTTCTCATTATTTAATGTGATGCTCAGAACAACCCTGTGAGGTACACAGTACACACAGCAATTTGCAGATAAGAAGACTGAGTGACTTCCTTGACATGGTACATTGAGGATTAGCATCCAGGTCATTGTTTTGCCCAAGCCCACTGCTCATTCTAGTTTACAGTTAACAAAACTGTTTTTTAATATGCCTGGGCCTTCATTATTGAAATACCATTTACAATATAGTTTAATTTCCTTTTTAATCACTGGTAATAATATAGTTGATAGTGTTGAAAATACAGGTGAAAAAAGTTGTAACTCAAATCACAGAGAAAATCATCTCATTTACAGACAAACCAAATCACTGAGTTTATGGATTCCAAGGCAACAATCATAAACCAGAAAATAGGAAAAAAGGAAAACAACTATCATACAATAGATAAATTTATAAAAATGGCAGTTTTTCCTATTTGTTAATTATTCATGGCTTAATGTCATTGACATTCTGCCACTAAAACTATGCCTATTTGTTAAATTATTATTATAAAAGTGAACTATCTGACTTAGAATAAAAGTGAATTGAGACTGAAAGGAAGAGGTAAAGTATGTAATCTGAAATAATAAAAAATTCAGGTAAATCTGAATATAAGTTGTAATACTTTATGATATATGCTAATGTTCATAGAAGTCCTCCCAATTACCTGTATGGTTCCTGAAAATTTTCCCTGGAAACAGAACTCTTTTAGGAAATATGAGTACTCCCTCATTTGCATGGATGGAAAAAATATTGTTAATCCCCAGTCAAAAGGAAATGAAATAGTAACACATGAACTAGACACCATTCCAAATGATAAAAATTCCTACTCTTGAAAAATTCATTACAATTTGAACAACCCCCAAAGCCAATATATACCTTAAAATGCACATCTTTTATATTCAAGAAGTTTTAATGAGGTGAAATATAAGAAACTATTCTACTTTTAGGTATAATCTTTTAAATCGTGAATATATTTTCAGTGTGTAGCCACTTTCTTCCATTCACATTAAGGATGTTCATACCTGCGCGTGATGGGCAACAGATTGGAGAGTTTGTGTAGGCATTCAGAAAGGAAGTCCCACGTGCCTTCATAAAGTTGATAAAAGGAAGTTTCACTACCTGACTTCCTGGATGAAATGTTAACCTTCCATCCTGGCAATAAAGAAATTTAATTAGCACTGATTGTATTACCAAAGAAGAAAATGGTTTTCTTTAACCATAAAATTTACAATGACAAAAGACTTCAGTATGATTTTAATAATCCTCAAAAGGTAAAAACAAAACGAGTACAGAGAGTGTTCCCAGTATCTGGAACATGAATATCTAGAATTCAATGCACTGTTACACCTGGATTCATTTGAATACAGTAAATAAAGGACTTCCTGGAAAGTTCTTTTGGGGGATGATGAACTAAGTATTTACTTAACACTTAACTATGTGCCAGTTACTGTGCAAAATCTGAGGATGCAATGGTGAATAAAACAGAGTCCTTGCCCCCATGAAGCTTACAGTCTAGTGGGAAAGGCAAAAGTATATTGGCAAATAAACCACAAATAATTACAAATTATGATGTGCGATTTGAAAAAAATCTGAGATACAGAAGGACAAGAGAGACCTACATTAGACAGTGTGGACAGAGAAGCCTTCTCTAGGATGTATGAGACATAAAGAATGAGCAAGATCCAGCTATTCAAAGAATTTAAGAGACATACAAAGTTTGAGATATCTGTGAGTTGGAAGTGGCGATATCAATTAGGCAGCTGGTGTGGAATGTGGTGGCCCATCCCTGTAATCCCAGCACTTTGGGAGGCTGAGGTGGGAGAATAGCTTGAGCTCTGGAGTTAGAAACCAGCCTGGGCAACATGCGAGACCCCATTTCTACAAAAAAATTAGTCAGCTTGATAAATGAGTCTGAAGATTAGAAAATGTTTGGGCTGGAGATATGCATTTTGGAGATGAACTAGGAATTGAAAAATTCACCTTGGTAAAGAGAAAAGACAGAAAAAAGAATATTCCAGTCCTGGAGTTTTATCTATTATATGGTTTCAACATAATAATAAATAAATTACAGTTTAAAACATGAGCCAACCCAAAATATAGAGTATATCTAAACCCTTGAGATATCTGAGATTTCCAAATAGAGATACAAAGCAGGCCGTTGGATACAGACAGGAATCTGGAGTTCAAAGTCTATCTTGGTGAAATAAAACTTGGGAGTATTTAGCTTATTCATGGTTTGAAAACTGTGAGACTAAATAAAACCTTTTAGGGAGAAAGGGAAAGGAAAGGAAATAAAGGGGTCTAGAAGAAGCTGTGAAGGAATCTAAGAGGAGAAAGCAGCATGGGAAACTGAGAAAGAATGAATGGCCAATGGAGGAAAATGCGAGGAGACCAAGTGCCATGACAGCTGAGAGAAGACAGTATGCCAAGAAAGCAGTAACATCTGCTGTGTTAAGAATGCACCTGAAATGAAGCCAGAAATGCCTCATTTGGAATTGGCAGTATGAAGACAGCTGGTGACCTTGACAAGAGCACTTTCAATGGGTGGTAAAGATAAACAGCTAAACCGGAAAGGGGAAGGAATGGGAGGCAAGAAAGGGAGGCAGCAGGGGGAAGAAAGAAAGCTCTTCTAAGAAGTTATTTTGCAAAGCAAAACAGAAAAAATGGGATGGATATTAGAGAATGGTGTGTTAGCTGGAAGAAAATGTGGGATTAAAGTCAGTTCTTTTTTAAGATGAGAAAATTATGCATGTTTTATGTCAAAATAAATTACCACTTCCAGTAAGAGTAATCATTGAATGCTAAGCAGATAACTACTGATTTCCTCAATGATGAGCTAGAAAGCTGAAGACACATGTGCATAGTGGACAGGTGCAGTGGCTCATGCCTGTAATCTCAGCACTTCAGGAAGCTGAGGCAGGCGGATCACCTAAAGTCAGGAGTTCAAGGCCAGCCTGGCCAACATGGTGAAACCTCATCTCTACTAAAAATACAAAAATTAGCCAGGCGTGGTGTTGGGCGCCTGTGATCCCAGCTACTTGGGAGGCTGAGGCAGAAGAATCACTTGAATCCAGGAAGGAGAAGTTGCAGTGAGCTGAGATGGTACCACTGCACTCCAGCATGAGGGACAGAGTTAGACTCCATATCAGAAAAAAGAAAAAAAAAAGTGCATAGCCCTCCCTCATGAGAATTGCTTTAAGCCCTTACATTTGAATGCTCAGAAATTTATCCTCACAAATTCCAAATGTCTAAATATCTCATGCTTACCATCTTTTGGACATGGGGAGATAACAATTTGTGGCCACTGCTTAGAATCTAGACAACCTAGCCACCCAGGCTTATCTGGCTGGGGGATGGAGCAGGAGGTCACAAGGTAGAACTGTCTTAAAATGCTATATAATTCAAATACTGGGACTTAGACTGCAGGTCCTGCAGGCTAGGTTCAAATTGGTGTAACTACCATTGCAAATGGCTACTGCAGCATATCAATAACTAATGTATCAGATTAAAATCAATATTAGTGACTTCGGGACTCATTTCTATGACAAGCACAGGAACATCATCTGTATCAAAATCAGGCTAGAAAGCAGGACTCTCTAAAGTATAGAATGACAGAAATAACCAAGAAAGGAGGGGGCAACTGCCCCACATGAGAAAGTTCCCAACAATTCCATCAGTGAAAGGTGATCTATGTCAAGATTACTGCCTGAGATATACATAAGGCAGGGGAATTCAAATATTTGGTGAATGAAATGAAATGAATCATTAATCTAGAGGTTTGTTCAATTTAAAAAAGACAAATTTATGCTAAAAAATTCAACAGTATAGTTTTGCAAAGCTTAATAAACTGGATTAAGTATATCAATAGCAAAATGTGTATCTACATAGGTTCTTAGGAAATATTTCAATTATGATATACATATTCTCAATGTCAAAAATATCAATAATGCTTCATATAAATGAAGACCAAAATGTTATTAGAGAAAATATTTTAAAAATTTCTAGAAGTTTTGGTTTTTAACTTCATGTAGTTTTTACGTACTAACAAATCATTTAAAAACTAGGCTAGTACTAGTACTGCTGATGATGGTATCAATGGGAAATGGTCCATAGAATAGTTAATTCTGAACTGAAAGGGATCTTAACACAGCTGGTTGATGAAAAACAGAGAAAGTAAGTTTTTCATAGTATGTTAATGTGGTTTACAATGTATAGCCATTTATAAGTGAAAACACAGTTCTGTCAAATTTGGTTGGGAGAGAAAATCTTGCAGAGTGGCTTTTGGGGTAATGTCTATAATTTACTCATAGCCCATTTCAATTTTCTCAAGGCCATTCCTATGGTTCAAACAAATTGGGCATTTAAGAAATAAAAATGACTCATTAATTGGCTTTCTGCATAAAAGTGATAGAAATGGTACCAACTGCCTTTAGTTGCTGTGTTCTGCTCTCGTTAGTTAATTCTCATGGGTCCACACATTTTTTCCCCTTGGGATGGGTGAGCCTTTAAGTAGATATGATTTTGTGATTTTGATTGCTCCTTCTGAACTATGACTTGTACTTGGTTCCTTATCATTAAGGGCCAGGCAGAATCAGAGAAGTTTAGATTTGAATGCATCATCCTAATGAAAGAATGTAACAATAACTTTAATTTGCCATGTTAGCATGGCAAGACTGCTTATAGTGTTCCTCCCAGATCTGTCCATCAGACTGAATGAGACTCTTACTAGACTCTGTAGCATACATTCCTGTACCTGCTCTCCCCTGCCACTCCTGAAACCTCACCAAAACTAAAACTGACACAGATGCAGTGGCAGGGAGTAGAGGTAGGAGTAGCAGTGGGGATGAAAAGATGCCTATGTCCTTTACCGCCCAGGAAGAGATGCTTGTTTTCTATTATTTATTTATTTAATTAATTATTTAATTTTTTTTTGAGACAGAGTCTCACCCTGTCACCAAGGCTGGAGTGCAGTGGCATAATCTCAGCTCACTGCAACTTCCACCTCCTAGGTTCAAGTGATTCTCCTGCCTCAGCCTCCTGAGTATCTGGGACACCACCATGCCTGGTTAATTTTTGTATTCTTTCTTTTTCTTTTCTTTTTTTTTTGAGATGGAGTTTTGCTCTTGTTGCCCAGGCTGGAGTGCAATGGTGTGATCTCAGTTCACCGCAACATCCACCTCCCAGGTTCAAGTGATTCCCCTGCCTCAGCCTCCTGAGTAGCTGGGATTATAGGCATGTGCCATCACACCTGGCTAATTTTGTATTTTTAGTAGAGATGGAGTTTCTCCATGTTGACCAGACTGGTCTCAAACTTCTGACCTCAGGTGATCTGCTCGCCTTGGCCTCCCAAAGTGCTTGGATTACAGGTGTGAGTCACTACGCCTGGCCTTTTTTAAAAAAGGGTTTATTAAGATATAATTCACACACTAAACAGCTCATCATTTAAAGTGTGCAATCCAGTCGTTTTTAGTATATTCAGAAAGTTGTGCAACTATTACCCATAGTTGATTTTAGAATGTTCTCATCGTCCCCAAAAGATATTCTGCACTCTCTTTACTTCTTATAGGTCTATTCAGATTGTCTATTTCTTCTTGATTCAGTTTCAGTAGTTTGTGCCTTCCTAGCAATTTGTCCATTTCATTTAAGTTACCTGATTTGTTGACATACAGTTGTTTTATGTAAGTATTCCCTTGTAATTCTTTTATTTCTTAAGGTAATGTACCCATTCTCTTTCATGATTTTAGTAATCTAGCTCTTTTGTCTTTTTTCTTGGTTGGTATAGCTAAGGTTTGTCAATTTTTCTGATTTTTTCTAAGAACCAATTTTTGGTCTCATTGATTTTCTCTACTATTTTTCCATCCTCTGTTTATTTTATTTCTGCTCGAATCCTTATTCCTCCATTCTGCTTACTTTGCAGAAGCTTGTTTGGTTTTCTCACCTTGTCTCTCCTGGTATGGAACCTCAGTCCTACTAGAGAGCTAGGGCCACAGCAATTAGGGTACTAGTATTCTCAGCCTTCTGAACCTGGCATAAAGCTTTGTCCTGAAAGTGGGGGCTGACTGAAGTAAGGGAGCCCTCAACTTTTCATTTGTTCACTAGGAATTTAACCTCTAGGAGAAGATGAGAAAGCCTCACAGCCTGTCCTATCTGGTGAGATATGATAACTGGTGATTGGGAGCTGAGGGGAGGAGTCCTATCTTCTTGGACACACCCACCTAAGTGAAACCTCTGTCAAAGCCATAGTCCACTGACACAGACTCTTCTTGGCATTCTTACCAAGTTTTAGTAGATTTTCTTGAATAAATGTTTCTTCATTTGGTGTATGCCCTTAGGACAATTTCCAGACATTTTAAATGTTTCAACTATTTAATAGTTTTTATTTATAGTTTAAAAAAGAGTTTTCATTTGTTTTGGTTATTTTCTTGGGAGTTGGTCTGCAAAGCTTCTTGTTTTGCTATTCTAAAAGTAAAACCAATGTGCTATTTTCTTCCCACAATTATTATCAGCTCAACTGCCCTATCAACTCATCAGCTTGCAGAGTTTTAGAAATGATAAATCAGTGTCAAGAATCTAACTGTATATAATCTCACTAATAATCTAATAATAATAAACTGGTATAATCATGGAGAGAGGAATTATTTTAAGCTTAAAGACCAATATTTTTACTATATAGTTGAATATACCTACAGCAAAACTTCAAAGAAACTGTAAGCTGCACTCAGAGCTATCATTATTTCTAGTAATGTTACTGTCTTATTTTCAAACACATTGATATATACATATTATATGTTTGGATACAGCAAATAAGTAATTGTATTAATGTAGTTAGACCAAAATACTTGGCATAAGACAAAAAGATACAAGTATAAAAATCAAAGAATAAACTCACAATCTTAAATTTAAATGGAAAGTATCAGTATGCTCTCACAATTTATTTTTCTCTTTCTAAAATATATGTACTTTCTAGATTTGTCCACTGGAAAGATCAAGATGCAATGAAAACCCTAACACTCAGATTTCGGTCTCTAAATACAAGGTGGGACAGGAAGTATGCATTGTGGACATGGAACTCTGTTAAAGCAAGCTGTCAAATACTAATGGGGATGGGTCAAAAGGACTCAGAACAACCTGAAGGGGCTTCCACTGGCCAAAGATAGGACAGTTTGAATAATAATAAGTATGCAAATACAAAAAATTTAAGCACAAATATAGAAAAATTTATGCATCCATACAATACTAAAAAAATAAATCTAAATCTCTCAGTTATCTTTGGAAGTTCCACACAACATGTGATTCCCTTTTAGGAATGGGCAGTTGCCTCTGCTGAAGACAGCTGCCTTGTCCAACATCATGCCCCATTCTAGGAGCAGCCCACAACCAGCGGTCATCCAACATGCAGGTAGAAAGGTCTGTTCCCCTCCCTCCAACTGGAAAGCAGCTCTGAAGCACCATCTTAGTTTGAGAACTGTCATTCATAAGATAGCAACAAAATTCTGCTTCTCCTCTGCACAATCCTGCTTCCTTTATCTTTGATTACAAGACCACTCCTTAATAAAATGTCATCTAGTCAATTTCCAGTACTGCCCATGCTCTAGGTTTAAATCACAAAGGTAACTTTAAGTATTATTTTCAAAAAATCCCATGAGCACATCTAGACTATGTAATTTTAATAATCAGGGGTTGATCTATTTATAAGAAAGGAAATACAACGTAATGATTACAAACACTCTTTAGTACCAGATATGCTTAACACCAACATCTATATGACCACAGTAACACCAAGTGATAATAAACTAATATTACAATTAATAACCAAACAATTGACTAAGCAGCACTTTTGAAAACATCGATCATACTAAAAGCATCGGGTAAGGTTGACAGTAGCACCTTTGGCTTGGAAAAGTTTCAAAAACTCTTTAAGTTTAGGATTCAGCCACATTACCAACACACACACACACATACACACACACACACACAATTTCTCTGGAATACGGGGGAGTGGATCAAGTTTTATCAACGATTCAATTTAAATCAGAACTAACAGGATTATCACAAACCTGGGTAATAAACTTCACTTCTCACCCAAACATGAATTCCTGCAATCTTAAAGTGAACTGGGAAGTGACTTTTGGAAAGCTAACATGCTTTTATGGAGATGCAGAATGTTATTTTACCACACAATTAAACCAAACAGGGGTATAGACTACAAAGTTCATTAGTAGTGGTAAAATAATTTATTTTTATCTTTCTAAAATATTTGTCAGTATTAAAAAAGAAAAGATATGCAAAGATGTTTTCAGTGTTTCACTAATTATTGTTTTATATGCTTGCATAGGTATGTGGTGTATGTGTGAGTACACGGGGCCTCATATGAAATGTATTTCTTTCTTTGCATCGGGGTAAAAGGTGTTTGAAAATGTCTCAGGTTCTGCTCCACAAAGCCTGCAGCATAGGAGGTGGCGGTGAGGTCGCCGGTCCCTAGCGGGGCGACCCTCCTTGCCTCGCGGTACTTACAAAGGAGTCGCTCACGACCAGTACCACGTTGGGGGCTTTGGCTGCTCCACGCCCCTGCTCCCCTGCTCCGGGGGCCGGTGCCCCCAGCGCCGAGGCTGCGACCACCGACACCCATAGCAGTAGCATCACGGGTTGCGGTTCTGAGAGCCCGACGTTGGGCCAGCCGCCTCCCTCTGGCGTTCTCTGCAGAGGAGAGCGGGGCGGGGACAGCTAACAACTCCCGAAGCAAGCAGTTTGGTTTCCTGATAGCAACGCCGAGCTTCACCTTCAAAACTACAACTCCCATCAGGCTGAGATCGTGCACATGCGCAACAGAGAAGTCCCAGCTTTTACCCACGTTAAGACCTTTTCATCAAATACCGAGCAAATCAGAACCTGGCCACTTCCAGTTACGTGACTGATGCCTGGGGAAAGGCGCATGCGCTCTCACTCCAGACCCGGCGTTCGTAGAAGGGTAGCATCTGTACCAGGTGGGTTCGGATATCTGTCACTTTTGCACAAGGGAGCCTAAAGGCAACTGAAATGGTACTTAGAGAAAAGAAAAAATCGGGGCTGGGGCTGTTCGTTTTGGGCCGCTCAAGCGTGGCTGAGTGTTGGGCGAGAGCGTGAACTGGGCGGTGATGAGGTGGCGGCGCGGCTGTCACTTAAGTTGAATAGGGCGGTTCCTTGTGGGGCCTGGGTGGACCGCCTCAAGTCCGCCGTAGATACCTTAGAGCCCCTCGAATACCTTCCCCAAGGAAGTCTGTAGCCTGTCTCATCTTGTTTCTCTTACCTGGTGCAGTCAGGAATTACTGTGCTTCCATGGGGTGAGGAGCCGGGCCTAGTAAGAAGTTTCAGGCTATCGGCGGGGAGAAAGCAGGACTGTTCCTTTCCTTCAGAGAGCAAAGGAGAGAAACGAAACAGGAGGGGTAAATGTTGGGCTCTGCGACGTGTTCAGTTAGTTGACGTAGGTTCGGAATACCATTGTTTTGCTGCAGAATAAAAACCGATCTCGTCTGACTGTTGAATTCCTTTGAGATTTCTGGAAAAAGCAGATTTCTGTCTCAAAGCCAAATTCCAATTGCAGTGTCATAGTTTCAGGTATATAATTTGCACATCACACTAGTAGTTTTAATATTCTGACAGTAAAGAGAGAAGTTATAGTACTTATTTAACATAAGTCAACTGAATACTAATATCTGGCAGGTTTTTTTGCATAAGATAATTGTAATAAGGAACAGATTTATTTATTTAATACTCACATGGCAATTAGGTGCTGAGCATAATACTAAGAATTTAGTGATCATGCCAGGTACTTTTATATGTAATATTTTTCATAATCTTCACTTTCACCATATTGCAGATAGGAAAACAGGTTTGGAGAGGTTAAATGACTCACCTGAGTTTACACAGGTAACTGGTATGAGCACGACTGGAAATTCAGTCTGTGCTGTAACTAAGTGCTTTGTCTGAAGTTAATTACTAAATTTCATGAGTCTACCGAGTTTGTTAGTATAGCGGAATTGTTACTCAAGCAGCATGATAAAGATCTCCGGGAGCGTGCAAAATAAATGGAGCAGTACACTGTGACTTGTGCCTGTAATCCCAGTACTTTGGGAGGCCTAGGCAGATGGATCACCTAAAGTCACGAGTACAAGACCAGTTTGGCCAACATGGTGAAACTCCATCTCTATAAAAATACAAAAAGTAGCTGGGCGTGGTGGCAGGCATCTGTAATCCCAGCTACTAGGGAGGTTGAGGAAAGAGAATTGCTTGAACCCAGGAGGTGGAGGTTGCAGTGAACTGAGATCACACTATTGCACTCCAGCCTGGGCAACAAGAGCAAAACTCTATCTCAAAAAAACAAAACAAAACAAAACAAACCTAAACAGTAGTCTCGGTTTACATGAGGTTAGATTTCAGGGAAGCAAAACCTAGCATACGTGAAATAATACAGCATGGAAGGTGATACAAGTGGGTTCCTTTATAAATACAAATTTGTTTTGAGTTAATTTGGAATATAGGACATATTTCTACCATAGAGACAAGGTTGACTGACATTTAAATTCATAAAGGTTATATTTAACTTTGTGGCTGATTCCATAAACTGTACTTACTCTCTACGGCCTTGTTTCCACAGGACATAACATCAGAGATGATGACAGGATTACAAGAATACATCTTTTTCTTCTTTCTCCCCTTGGCAGTGTCAATAGGAGAAGGTGCTGCAGTGGGTTGGAGCAAGACAGATATTTTAGAGCCTTAGAGACATTGTGCTGGAAGAATCTAAGAGGCTTCTAGTCCTACTTCCCATCTGAATTCAGTTTATCCTAAAACATTCCTGCTAAGGGAATTGCCTAGCCTGTGGTTTTTCATCTCCAGTGATGGGAAACCCTTCCATTTGCACACCTCATCCCACATTTATACAGGTCTAATTATTAAAAGTTCCTATTTTAAGTTGAAATTCCTCTATTTTTAACCATACATTAGTTCATTTTTCTTCACTTTTACATGGATAATCTCTCCCTTTCAACAGTCCTTCCCCCAACTCCCTCTCCACCATTTATGTTTTTTCTAGTTCCCAGTTTCTTCAGCTAGTTCTCATGTAATTTCAGGTTTATTGTTTTGATTACTCTTTTGTGAACATACAACATTTTTGCTAATCAGTAACTTATGCTCTCAGAAAAGGTACTTTTGTATGTGCGCATGCACGTGTCTGTGTTACAGTGAAGGTAGGGCATCTCTGTTAGTCTGCAAGGGCTGCCATAACAAAATACCACAAACTGCCTGGTTTAAGCAACAGAAATTCATTTTCTCATAATTCTGGAGGCTGGAAAGCCAAGATCTTTGTTGTTTTTGGAGGTCTCTCTCTCCTTGGCTCGCATTTGGCTACCTTTTCTCTAGGACCTTACATGGTCTTTCCTTTAGGCATATACATCCCTTGTGTTTGTGTGTGTGCCCAGGTTTCTTCTTTTAAGGTCAACAGATTGGATGGGCCTACCCATATCACCTCATTTAACCTTCATTACCTCTAAAAGGTCCTGTCTCCAAATACTGTCACATTCTGAGGGGTTAGGGTTTCAATATGTGAATTTTTGGAGGACATAACTCAGCCCTTAAAAGGCTCCATTACAAACATGTATGCTTAAGTCATCAGTTATAAATTTTTAAGTTAGAGATGGGTTGCTTGAGTTAAATACTCAGTGGTTCAGAAAGATGTTTAATAAAAGAGTCTTGATCTAGGTTTTAATTCTCTGTAGTTTTTTTCATGTCCAGAATACCTGCAACACCATATTCTGCTTTAAGAAAAGGAGACTAAGGGTGCAGCTTGTGATGGTGTGGAATAAATTTAGTATTGTCCTCACATCTGCATTGTACCAGACACTGTAGGGAAGAAAAAAAGGAACTAGAAATAGTCTCTGCTCCCAGGGAACCTCCAGTCTAATTTTTGGAGACACACAGACAGACATAAACATCTGTAAGTTTAATAGCCACGTGAAAGGTATCAAAAAGTATAGTTAATGCTAAATAATCAAAAAACAAAAACTATAATCCCGAATTGTACTTTGGAGAATGCTTGTGTACTTCCAAATGTTAATTGGTTTTCACTGAAATAAATGTTCCATCATCACAGAAGTTTTAGAATTGCTGGGTTAAATTAACTTTGGGTCTTCATTATAGGAATTCTCAGAGGCTTTAAAAAGATAATTTGCCTTGTGACTTTGAAAGACTGAGAGATACAGCCTATAATATTCACAAACTGACTAGGCCACTCATTAACACATTTAAGCATATTAGTGTTTCTTGGAATACGTTTTTGGAAGTGTTAGTATAGATAATAAATGCTATAAATTCAGACTAGTGTGAGTTTGGTCTGGGAAGGCTATATGCTTAACAGTTGAATTTGGCCTTGAAGTATGTGTGACATGTGAGTAGACAGAAGCGAGGGTAGACAGGGTAAATGGGAGAAGCAAAGATGTACAGGTAGAAGACTGGGAGGGGTGATTTTAAAAAGTAATGTAAACTAGTATCAAAACATTAACAAGCCTTTTGATGGTGTAAAAGAAAATAAAACTCTTAAGGCTCCCAAACTCACTATGACAAGGGGAAGGTTAAACTTGGGATGTGAGTCATGCAACACTGCCATTCTTTTCCCCTAAACAGATAGTTTGTAATTTCACAATGTTAGGTCATAGTCTTACACATAAGCTAGGTTCCCACAATGACAAAAGGCCATATACTTCTTCAGATGGCCTCCTCCCCAATTGCTTACAAGGAAATTCCTTGCAGGCTCCTAAATCTTTCAAGATACATATTCTCTTATAAAACAAGCATATGCCAATCGTAATCTTGGGTCTGCAACCTAAATGTAACTCCTGATATTAAGTTCTGTTAAATCTCACACTGAAAATGTCGATTGCAAGCTTATCACCCCAGGTACAGAACCAGGATAAGATGAGATCAATCACTCTTACACCTACCCTGACGTGGTTGCATAATTGACTCTTTTCTCCCTCTTTTCAGATGTTTACCTTGTCTTATGTAGAAGGTAGATTTATTGAGCTCTAATTAGAGCCTCAGGAGAATATAACCCTATGCCTTACTGCCTACTTTCTTCCCCCCATTTTTTCCCTCCTGCATGCTCTGCCCTAGAATACTGAGTTCTCAAAGCCCTCCTTGGAAAATGTGAGTCACAGATGCTTTGATGTCTTGTTTTTCCCAGACGTGTTCTCAAAGTATAGCTCAATAAACCTCTGCTGATTGAGACACTTCCATCTGTCATTCATTTTTTTGTTAACACTAGTAAGCTGTGGAAGCTGGAATATCATTAGTTATTTATTGAATATGTATTATTCAGTAAGTGTTGGGTATATAAGAAGCTCTGAAAATTTAAGACCTGCATCTAAGAATTTATTGAATTGGGAGACAGGATATGTCTATAGAGGATAATGAAAATAATATTTGTTATGTTTCAGTTGAGTGGCTCAGTTAATAAGTGGTTTGGAGGAGGGAATGATCTCTGTTGTAGGCTGTCCTCTAGTATTTATGTAGTGTAGTAATGAATTTGAAGAGGATACTCATGTCTGATGACAGCTGTCTTTTGAGGAATACAGATGCTTCTTGACTTATGGAGTTACACCCCATAAACCCATTTTAACTTGAAAATATCATAAGTCAAAATGCATTTAATACTCTGACAAGCCCATCATTAAGTCAAAAAATTGTAAGTTGAACCATTTGTAAGTCAGGGGCCATTTGTATTGATAAGAAGTTTACTTCATGAGAGCAAGGAAGGAGTAGGTTGCAGAGAGGGTTGAGGATTTTGAATGTGTAGAGACAGTTTATA